GATACTACAACAACTCTCCCAGACATCATTGCTAAAACCTACATTGTCACAAATGCAGTAGTTTAATATAATAATGCATAGCAACAATATGCTGTATTTATAACCTGAAGTCCGCAATTAATGTAAGAAAGTTTTGGGAGATTTTGATGGTGACAGTAAAAAGAGAAGGTAAGAGAACGTATTGATTTTAGAGTAGGACTGCAGTGTTTGATTTCTGCAGGAGCTGTTCTGAATAGCTGTTCTTGGGCACAGGTCTGTACCTGAATGAGGCGTCTGTGTTTTCTGCTTTTCTTTGTGCTGGGAGATGAATGCGAACAGACATTTGTTCTGAACAAACACAGTTGCCCTTTAGCTTTGTAATTTATTTACCCTCCCTGAATGAGGCCAGTCCGATACGTTTGCTTGCGTCTCATTCACGAGTGTTGTGTCTTTGTGTTTTATCTGCAGGAACCCGTCTCCTACCCTCCGCCAGCCCGAGCACTGGTGCAGGAGTTTCTGTCTCTTCATTGCTCAGTGAGTACAGCAGCTTCATCCCTCTCTTCTGTACTCTTTTGATGCGTGTTGTCACTAGCATTGTGTTTTATGTTTTACTTCAAGCCACTTGCATGTTTTTACTCCTGAATATGTGTGAAGTACTGAGAAATACTGATCTCTAGAAATACTGAGTATTTAGATCAGACAGAAAATGTGTTAGAATTTCTCAGTGGTTCCGAAAAAAAAAAGTTATAATTTTGAACATTTATTGTATACACGCTACCATTCCAAAGTTTGGGTTCAGTAAGTGCTTGATTTGTTTGTTGTACGTTTTTTTTTTTTTCATTTAAAAAAAATTATTTTATTCAGCAAGGATGCATTAAATGAATCAAAAGTGACAATAAAGACATTGTTACAAAAAGTCTATTTCAAATAAATACTGTTGTTTTGAAATATCCATTAATAAAAATCAACAACAACAACTGTTTTCAACATTTATTTAAAATAGTTATTTGTTTTAAAATGTAAACATTTTTATTTTAAATGGTCATTTGTTGTAATGTTATTGTTTTTACTGTTTCTTGATCAAATAAATGCAGCTTTGGTGAACATAAGAGATATCTTTAAAACAAAAATGAACCAACCAAACAAACAAATAAGTCAATAAATAAACAACACCCTTTTGTCAGGGCGTTAAAACAACAGCAACAATAATAATAATAATAATCAAACGTTTTGAAAAGAAACAAAAGGCCCAGACTACCAGACAGCTGGCAAACTAAAAACGGTCAGATAGCTATACAAGAACAAAACAATCAACAAAGCAAACTGGGCAGAACAGCAATTGCTGGGACTGTATCTTGGTAGACAGCCAGAAAATAGTGCCAACTGACACATGACACAGAGACGGGACAAATGACGGATAAACCAGCAACAGGATGAGGACTTACAAATGGGATCTAAAGGTAAGGAAATCAGGAGTGCAGGTGGGACAAATCAACTAATGACCAGGGACAACAGGGCAAACGAGGGGGAGGAGCCAGCGCAGGAAGAGGAAAACATGCAATTCAAAACAAGATCTTGAGAAAAAGCACAGGAAAATCAGACACGAGTGTCAGAAATGCTTTGCTTTAGCGTGCTTGTGTATCTTTCCCTAAAAATGAATGTCTCTTGATTTGTTTGACATCTAACACAATGACATTCAGATGTTTTGATTATGGCTTAAGTGTCCAGATCCTTTTGGTGCTGTTGTACCTCCATCCTGTCAGTGTGTTCAGCTGTAATTTCACTTGACAAGACCGATTCTGGCTGTTTCTGTATGAGCAAAACATGCAGTGAGAAGTTTCCACAAACGCCTCTCAGGCATACGGTTTAATTCCTGTCAGACAGCCTGTAAATAAAAGAGGCCCGGCTCTCTGTGTGTGTGTCTGTGTACATATACAAGCAATGAAAAGCCCAGATTATTATTTCATTATTGAGAATGAAAACATCAGAGAGAGGGATGCTGTGTGCGCGGCAGGAGGGCTGTGAATGCTAATCGACTCATTTATTTGTGTTAGTTGTTCATTTATCAGTGTGGCAGGTCTTCTGGCCGCTCGTGATGAATTAAAAGCACAGACGCAGTCATATTCATTAAGCGTGTTTGTGTGTGTTTCTGTGTGCTGGTGGGATTTTATCCTGAGTGCTCTTTAAGTGCTCCTGTGTGTACAGTCTGCTAAACACATGGCTGGTTGGTGTTGTGGTTAAAATTCAAGGTTGATTGTTGCAAGTCTCAAACTGGTTGAGCCATTAACTAGCACCATTGTGCCCTTGAGCAAGACACTTAACCGCAGGTTATTCCAGCAGACTCCGTGTACTGTAGTATGACTGTGGAAGCTTGTACCATTTTTCTGACATCCTCTTTTCAGTTTCTCAGTTCATAAATTTGATGGATGTTTAATTAGATTTTGAAGAGCTGTTAACTAGCTATTAGTTTCTAGCATAGAATGCTTATGAAGCATTATCTTCTGTCATTTAACCTGAACTGTTCGTTAAAGGTGCACTTTGATTTTTGATAGGTAAAATAATTACTTGAGTTCGACCAATGTGGCGGCCATCTTTTACTTCATTCTGTCATCCAAAGTATTCAATAACAAGGGATAGTGATGTTATCACAGTAAAGTAAGTCAAGTCAAATTATTTGACACAATTTGTATTGTATAAAGAGATAAACAGGAAATAGCAGAATCAATTGTGGAAACTCAGTTCAGATTTGTCTGTAAAGCAAAAATTTTGTCTCTAAAATAATTTTTTTTTTTTTTTTAATTTTAAGCTTAAGCTAATTACTTAGTAAAGCAAATAGAATTCGGCTTCACTTCATTAAACTCCAAGCAAAAGGTTGCCAGATATCAAAAAAGCAACCTAAAAATGAACATAAACTTGACCTCTATGTTAAGACTGTTTTAAAGGAACACTATTTTTGAAAATAGGCTCATTTTCCGACTCCTCTAGAGTTAAACCGTTGAGTTTTACTGTTTTCGAATCCATTCAGCCGATCTCCGGGTCTGGCGGTAGCACTTTTAGCTTAGCTTAGCATAGATCATTGAATCTGATTAGACCGTTAGCATCTCGCTCAAAAATGACTAAAGAGTTTTGATATTTTTCCTATTTAAAACTTGACTCTTCTGTAGTTACATCGTGTACTAAGACCGACGGAAAATGAAAAGTTGTGATTTTCTAGGCCGATATGACTTTTTATTAAGGCTGATATTACGCAGCGCCTGAAAATAGGCTTATTGGAAGTTAACCAGCTGGGGACTATTTTCAGGCGCTGCGTAATATCATTGCGAAAACGGTAAAACTCAACTGTTTAACTCTAGGGGAGTCGGAAAATGAGCCTATTTTCAAAAATAGTGGAGTGTTCCTTTAACAACCAGTTTGATCATCTAGCTAGCAGTTGTAATCAGACGTAATCAGTCTAGATTTAGATTAGACCAATCTAGCTTTTTGTGATTGTTTTTTTAAAAGATATAAAAGACTGAAAGTTAGATGACTTTTTAAATTATAAATAAGCAGTTTATACAACCTGCCACTGGTATAATATATATTGAGCCTCATTATTGTGCTTTAGGTGGGTATAGATATATATGTTCGTATGATGCGTAATTAGCAGACATGGCAAAACTGTACCAGAAACACAAATATATGAGAACTACATAATATCCTGCAAACCTAAAAGACAGGAAATGTGTTTTATTATTCATAGTTTAACATTAAATACTTACATATTATTGAATAAAAAAAATGGTGTTGTATTATACAAATGTAGTAAATTACTTTTAATTGAACTGTAGTTTTGTAATTTAGATGAATTATGCTTCGTGTATAGTTACAGCCATGGGTTGCATGTAATATTGATTTGTGATGATCTGACAGCTTGTAGTGGGGGATCTAGAGTTTCATGACTGAACTAAATTTACTTTATTAGAAATGACAGTATGCACTCTAAAAAATGCTGGGTTAAATACAACCCAGCGCTGGGTAAAATAGGGACAAACCCAGCAATTGGGCTGTTTTGATCCAGCGGTTGGGTTACTACCCAGAAGGTTGGGTTAAACATTTAACCCAACCGCTGGGTCAAAACAGCCCGATTGCTGGGCTTGTCCCTATTTTACCCAGCATTTTTTAGAGTGTGAGTATATTTCTATATTGCTCAAATATTGCACTATATCTTTAAAGATGGTGCTCTATAGCACCTTATCCACCGCAAAGCGCTGAAGAACCATTACAGGTTCTCTATAGGTGCTATATAGCACTTAAATTGGTTCCCCTATGATTACGAGCCAAATAACCACTTAGCAGTGCTACAGTATATAGCACCTCAACTACCACAAAGAACCGCTGAAGAGCCAGTTTGTGTGTGTGTGTGTGTGTGTGTGTGTGTGTGCTTCTGTTACGAGGAGTATTTACTGAGCTGAAGATGCTTTGCTGTCCACAACCTATACGCTCCAGTATCACTATTCAGAAAACTGGCATTTGTCTGCATAAATCTTGTCTAATTATGATGTGATCATTAATTAAATAAAGCTGGGGAAAAACACATATACTCGCAAGAAAAAAATTGCAATGCATCGCTCAGCGTTTGTGTTTGGCAAACACAAACGCTAAATCTGCTTCAGCCTAGATGAGGGTTTTTATCAACATCACACTGAAAAATTGTGTTTTGAGAGCCATTGGATCAGAAATAATTCTGCTGAGTAAATCCTGTCAGTGTGTGTGTGTGTGGTGTACAGGGACACAATGTTATCGAGAGGTGCCGGCTGTTTGCTCTCTGCCTGTATGTGTACATTATGCATAATTAATTGTTATTATAATATTAAGTGCATGCAACATGTAACAAGGACACCTTAAAATAAAATGTTACCAAAAGTGTATATAAGTGTGCTAAGAAATAGTCATGAAATTAAATGTACTTGTAAGATTTGATGTACACTAAAAGTGTTCTTCATACACGGATCATAAAGAAATATGCAAAGGTCTCATGAGACATGATCAACAGGTAACCACAGTCTCTGAGCAGGAGGACACTTGCATGCATGTAGTCCAGAACAAAAGAGACAGGCCTGTAGACTAGCAAATGGCTGCAATATAACAAAGAATGAAAAATTTAAGGGGGTCTGAATACTTTCCGTACCCACTGTATACTCGCAAGAAAAAAATTGCAATGCATCGCTCAGCGTTTGTGTTTGGCAAACACAAACGCTAAATCTGCTTCAGCCTAGATGAGGGTTTTTATCAACATCACACTGAAAAATTGTGTTTTGAGAGCCATTGGATCAGAAATAATTCTGCTGAGTAAATCCTGTCAGTGTGTGTGTGTGGTGTACAGGGACACAATGTTATCGAGAGGTGCCGGCTGTTTGCTCTCTGCCTGTATGTGTACTGGTACATCCTGCCCACAACACAAACCGCAGGCCAAACAACACTCTGACTTTTCTGAAATCACATCCAGATGTTCATGAGGCAGAGAAATATACATTGCGGCATGTGCTTAAAAAGGCTGACCGTTAAAAACACCACCGGTTGAGATTATAAATATATGGGTGGGTTAAACAGAAGTATTATTTGTTTGGTTTATAATAGCCTGCCAATCATAGATTGTCATTTTGAAGTGCTTTCTGATTCGTCTCAGGGTCAGACCAAAGATCTGGCAGCCTTGACCATGACAGCGGTCATTGTGAGGCGCTTGACTTGCATTTATCACTGTCGTCTATAGATGCAGAGCTGTCACGGTGGATTTATCACATCTAAATGTGAAACAGTGAGACTTTCTGTTGTGACATTCTAGAAATCTATGAATCACAGCATGTGGGTTGAGTTTTTTGTAGTACTGTGTCATCTATCACGTGAGGGTTTCCTCTTTCCAGCAGATGGCAGTGTTATCTGTGGAGGAATGAAGCTCCTCGGGTTATTCTGAGAGGCTGGCATTCAGGAGCATTAGATTCAGTACAAGTCAAACGGATATCTCTGATGCTGTTATAGACGCTACACATGATGAAAGAAAGAGTTTCCACTGGATTCTCCTTGAAAATGTTCATTTAGACCCTTAAAATCCTGCAGATATTGTATTACCTATTCTTTGGGCCCTTTGAGGAGGGGACAGGGGGCCTACAAAATTCGCAGGCCTTGTGCATTTAAATGACCACCCTGCCTATAGTATTCTCAATAGTTGAGTTATAAAATTAACTCAAATTGGCCTTTAGAGTCGTCTAAAAGTTGCTGAATATCAAATATGAAAGTATTGAACAAAGTAAAATATTTTAGTTTACTGTATTCTAAAGCTTGACAAAGACTGGCCTTTCACATGAAAAACAGCATGATTCAGTTAAAAACTTAGTAAGATTGGTAAGATGGCTGGAAAGATTTTTTAATTATTTTTGAAAGTCTTTTATAGTCATAAGACCACACGCACACACACACACACGCGCGCGCGCACATGCACACACACACACACACACACACACACAGATATGTTTATATGGTTTATGGGGACTCTCCATAGGCGTAATGGTTTTTATACTGTACATCACACCCTGGTGCCGCATGCTGGATGTTTAGATTTTGGGTTACACTTTATTGTAAGGTGTTCTTGTTACAGTGTAATTATACATTTAAGTACTGAGTAATATTAATTAACTACATGTACTTACTATATGGTTAGGATTAGGGTTCAGTTTAGGGTTACTTGCATGCAGTTATGCATCATTTATTGTTATTATAATAGTAAGAACATGTAACATGTGTAACAAGGACACTTTAAAATAAAGTGCTACCAGATTTAGTTTTTTGGTGTTTACTAAGGCTAAAGTTTTGCTATATTTACGGTAGGAAATTTACAAAATATCTTCGTGGAACATGATCTTTACTTAATATCCTAATGATTTTTGGCATAAAAGAAAAATTGATAATTTTGGCCCATACAATGTATTGTTAGCTATTGCTACAAATATACCTGTGCTACTTATGACTTTTATGTCATTTACTTATGGCTTTTGTGCTCCAGGGTCATTTGTGCTACAGACATCAATGGCACTTCAACTCAATAAATTACTTGTTTATGATTGAATAGATTTTTTAGTATTTCATGTTTATTGAAGCTGTAACATTGCTGTATTGTGTTTTACAGGCATGAGCGGATCAATACTCGCAAAACCCTGATCATTGAGAGCTGTCCTGATGATGATTTGGTGAACCTGGAGGTTTTAGATGAGGTATATTTAGATGATTTAGCTGAAATCGGCTTTTAATTTCTTAATCATACAGAAATAATTTTATTTTGATGTAAAGTCAACAAATTGACCTTAAAATCGACTTTCTTAGTACGTGTTCCTGGACGTATTTTTGATCAGTTTTTCCAAATAATTGCATAACTCCATTAAAATGCATTATGAAAACATAACATAATGTTCTGAAAGTAAAATGAGATGCAGTTGGCATTTTATGTTGACTTTAAAATGTAATGGAATTACTAAACTGTCTGCTCAAATTCAGTGAATTCAGTGAATCTTGTAGTATAAACAACAAAGATACATTTCCATCTCCAGCATTTCTCGTTTCTAGGAAATAATCATTACACATCTTCAGAGGCGATATCAGGAGCTGCAGATCTACACATATGTGGGTGATATCCTCATAGCGCTTAACCCTTTCCAGAACCTCAACATCTACTCTCCACAGGTGAGAGGAGCAATATCAGGCTGTGCACTAAAGCATCATTTATGTCTAAAACAGGCCATCTTTGTTTAAACCATCTTATGTGTAAAATGTGTAATTTGCTTGGTGTTGTGGGGAGCAACTTCTATGGTGTTATTTTAATGACAAATGTCGAGAGCGCATCATTGTAGTGCGAAAGCACATTCATATAACGCGCTAGTGCGAATCTCTTTCGCTCTCACACAAAACTGGACGTGCGTGCTCAGATAAACGCTGCTCTCGCCCGGAGAGAGTGCGCGCACTTAAAACTTGTCTCTCCTGTCACTCAAACTGTGTCCTGTGCACTCTCAAATCTCTGTGCTCATGCACTATAGATATTAATAATTTTCGCACCTGAATTAAACGTTGTCAAAAGTTATCATTATGCACTTTTAAAAAGTAGTCTCAAAACAGATTTGTGCAGGGCCTTTCCTTGATTTTTTGTTGTTGTTGTCACGAATCTGGTCCATGGACTTCCGTTCGATCGCCACCAGAGGTCACCCTTCCGTTACATTGACTCTCGCACTACACAAACTGTTACACATCACCCTGGACTACATTTCCCATGCTCCATTGCACTAATCACAAGCTCATCTGAAACCAATCACACACAGCTGCTACCAATAACACACACTATATAAATCAGTCTCACACCACCATTCAACACCGAGTATTGTTTAGCGTTTATCGCTCATCTAGTGATAGCTACTTTACGGAGCCATTCCAAGTTTCTGAATCTAGTATAGCCTTGTTCTTAGTCTGTTTACCCGTTTCTTGATCCTTGCCTGTTATCTCGTTTTGTCTGATCTCTGCCTGCCCTGAAATGTATAGCCTGTTCTGGAATTACCCTTTGCCTTGCTGTTTCGGACTGTGATTGCACCTCGCCTGGACTCTAGCTCATCTTGTGGATTCCCCGTTTGCCTCGCCCTCAGGATTACATTCGCCGGAGATCGACCACGCCTGTTTACTGGACTACTCTTATGTCTTGCCCTCAATATACCTGTTTGCCATTGTTTGACCCATGCCTGTTATGACTACGTCTCTGTCTAATGAAAGCCTGCAGATGGATCCGCACGTCTCACGTCTCGTTCGCCCCGTAACAGTTGTATTTAAACTGGTTATTGTAGCTACTTTGTTTTACTATATATATTTTATGTTTGTATTTTGATCTTTTCTGCGAATGCACGTATGCATCTCTTTGTAAAGTAGGCTACTTTGTATACACTGTTTTAAAAGGCGCTATATACGTAAATAAAGTTTAAACCAATCAGACCTCCACGACTGACCGATGAAAATACTATGTGAAATCTAATTGGCTGAGTGAACAGAACCTGGAATTCTTTTGACAATCAAAGATGGATCTTTAATTTATTTCCAGTTTAATAATTTTTAGCAATGTTATTGAAATGTAGCCTATAGAAATGGCTAGGAATTGGGTGCTTGGATGATTTATACATAACCTCTGTCCAACTGGTTGGTCTCTGAGCAATTTATCTAAAAACAACATATTATAGCCTATGGCCCTAAAGGCTTTATATAAAACATCAATGTTATGTCATAATATGTCAGATACCTCAGCTGAATTTAAAATAATTGCAATAAATTCTCAGTTGGTATGATGACAATAATAAGTAACAACTCCTCAAATCAACATCAAATGCAAAAATAGATGTAAATGATGCAAGATATAATACAATAAATGCTCTAATAGCATCGCTGTTTGGACCCTTATTGGGAGTTTTTTTTTTTTAAATCCAGTGTTTCTTTTCAGTTCTGATTTTGATAATATGTGCATAATGATATCTTTTGACAATGTTTAATTCAGGAGCAAAAATAATTAATATCTATAGAGCATGAGCACAGAGAGATTTGAGAGTGCACAGGACACAGTTTGAGTGAGAGGAGAGACACGTTTTCTCCGCCCGCGAGAAATATTATATTAATGTGCTTTTGTGCTACAATAATGCGCTCTCGAAATTTGTCATTACAATAAGGCCATACACTTCAAGTTGGCTGTCTGAATCAAAGCTTCCTTGTAGAGAGAGAACTAAGATGTAGTTTTGTGTCTGTTCTCAGTTCTCAAAGCTTTATCATGGGATGAAACGCTCCACTAACCCCCCGCACATCTTTGCCTCTGCTGATGCAGCCTATCAGAGCATGGTCACCCTCTCCAAAGACCAGGTACTGCTTTCTGTGTCTGCACTCTCATTCCTAAAACAATAAAGAGTATATCTAAGATATATACGGTTCAGAGACATAGTAGACTGACTTTAAATATGGTTTTAAATATTTATGTGGGGTTCACCAGTGGTCTCTTTCTCTTTAAACAGTGTTCACACTAGTTTATTTACATTTACATTTAGTCATTTATGTTATACTACCAGCTCAGATTCTTACATGATACTGAAGCACTTTTACGGGCAGGAAATTCACACGGACACAGCATGCTCACGGTCCAAGAAGTGCTCCAAAAATGCTCACCATCCAGTCTTTCTAGAAAAAGATGACTAGGATCACATTTAACCTACAAACTTTAACCTACCAAAAAACTTTTAATTTTCCCATGGACCTGAAGGCCCCCACTGGATGAATGAATGAATGAATGTTTAGATACGAGTTCAGATTTTATTTTACATTTACATTACATTTATATTTAGTCATTTAGCAGACGCTTTTATCCAAAGCGACTTACAAATGAGGACAATGGAAGCAATCAAAATCAACAAAAGAGCAATGATACGCAAGTGCTAAGACAAGTCTCAGTTAGCTTAACGCAGTACACGTAGCAAGGTTTTTTTTTATTATATAATTTAAAAAAAAGAAAACAGGTAGAATAGAAAAAGAATAGAGCAAGCTAGTGTTAGAGGCCTTTTTTGTTTTTTTGTTAATTGTATAATAAATAAAAAGAATACAAAAAAATAAAAAGAATAGAGAATTTGAATTTGAGAGTGAGACAAATTATTATTTTTTTATTCAGCAAGGACACATAAGATGAATCAAAAAGTACAATGTTAAAAAAAATCTATTTCAAATAAATGCAGTTTGAACATTAACCTCTTGGGGAGAAAAGCATGATTTCCAGAAAAATATTAATCACAAAACTGTTTCTTAATAATGATAATAATGAGAAAAGTTTCTTGAGCTGCATATCAGCATGTTAAACTAATTTCTGAAGGATCATGTGACCCAAAAAGACTGGAGTAATTGTGATCAGAAGAAATGGACAGCACCTGAGTTAAATATATGAGTGTCACAGCAAAGGGTCTGAATACTTAGGACCATGTGATATTTCAGTTTTTCTTTTTTAATAAATCTGCAAAAATGTAAACAATTCTGTGTTTTTCTGTCAATATGGTGTGCTGTGTGTACATTAATGAGGAAAAAATATTTAACTTAAATGATTTTAGCAAATGGCTGCAATAGGGGTCTGAATACTTTCCGTACCCACTGTATATTAATTAGAAAAGTTTTTAATTGCAATTTGACTGTTTTTACCTTATTGATCAAATAAATGAATATGAGACTTCTTTCCAAAACGTTGACAAAAAAAAAAAATCCTTACCGACCCCAAACTTTTGAATTGTAATGTAGATGCATGAAAGGAGAATTGTCTTTTTTCTTTTCTTTTTATGAACCAGATGTCTACCAAATTTCCAGATTTCTATCAGATCTCAAATTATATTGTTTTGCATTTCGTCTAATAATATTCTGTGGTATAGTTGAGATATTATTTATTTTTCGAATATACAATGGTTAGCTTTTTTCATATATTTTCTTCCAATTGCATGTCTACCAAAATACTAAATAAATAAATAAATAAAAGTAAATAAAAATATACATCAATATACAAATACAGTAGTCAGCATTTGAAGTGGATCGAAACCTTTCATCAGAGTTGTCCTAAAACTTTGATGAACTTTTTTTGATCCACTTCAAATGTTGACTACTGTAAATAAAAAATAAACATCTTATTATTGGTGCTTCTGTGTATCTATGTAGATTGAGTGTTTATATATTGTTATTGTTTTGTCTGTGCAGTGTATAATCATTAGTGGAGAAAGTGGAGCGGGTAAAACCGAGAGTGCCCACCTCATCGTCCAGCATCTCACATTTCTGGGCAAGGTTGGGTACTCATATCTTTTATACTTTAGCTAACACACTTCATACAAACACTACTGTGTGTGCTCTAAAGAAATGTTTCAATAATCAGTGTTGGGGGTAACGCATTACAAATAACACGAGTTACATAATCGGATTACTTTTTTTCAAGTAACTAGTAAAGTAACGCATTACTTTTTTAAGTTACTTTTTCAAAAAAGTAATGCCAGTTACTTTGTTTTCCCATTTATTGACTGACAGCTCTCCTGTCCCCATATTGGGATAAATCGGAAGAGCAGAGGCGTTGTGTGCGCTGTGTGAACATGACGTTACTGTAGTTCTAGACTAAATGTAAATGTGCATTAATTCATCCGACTCGCAAAAACAGATTTAGTATTAATCAAAATGAATTAAAACAGTGAAATGCAAACTCAGAATATGACACAAACCTGCAATAATTAAATATGTTAAATAACACAAATGTATCTAATCCCATTTTATTAACCAGTGTCTTTGCTGCTGACCTTTGATGATCCAGTTCAACCGTACTAATAAGCAAAAATGACTTTAGAGAAACGAACAATTGTGCTTAGTTTTTTTATTGCTGCATATTGTTTCTTCTCCTGCGTTCTACTGTACAGACGTGAATTTACTTTTCCTTCAACCTGAGGTTTATTCATTACACTTTTTGGTGTGAAGGGGCTTTTACATTTGCTATAAATATAACTTCTTATATTAAAAACATTCAAGCCCTGCTCATATTTAAAAAGTAACGCAAAAGTAATGTAACGCATTGCTTTCCATAAAAAGTAACTAAGTAACGTAATGAGTTACTTTTTTATGGAGTAACGCAATATTGTAATGCATTACTTTTAAAAGTAACTTTCCCCAACACTGTCAGTAACTAATCTTTGTGTTTTATCATGAGATTCCTGATCATTTTCCCTGTAGTGATGTAATCATCTGTGGCTGTAAGATGCGCAGAGCAAAAATCTGGGTCACACTCTTTTCTATTTCAAGGCTAATAATCAAACACTTCGTGAGAAGATTCTTCAGGTGAATCCCTTGGTGGAGGCGTTTGGTAACGCATGCACAGCCATTAACGATAACTCCAGCCGCTTCGGGAAATATCTGGAGATGAAGTTCACACCTACAGGGGCCGTGATGGGTGCAAAGATCTCTGAGTATCTTCTGGAGAAATCAAGAGTCATCAAACAGGCTACGTGAGGAACCACTGTGCCTAGATCTGTGGCCATTTTTAACAATAATTACTATTCACAGCTTATATTTTTAATTTGCAGGGGCGAGAAAAACTTCCACATATTTTACTACATCTATGCTGGTCTTTACCACCAAGACAACCTCAAGAAATACAGGCTACCCAACAAAACTGCCCCCAGGTTTGTGTGTTTATTTGAAGTGAAACAGACTCTTATAAAGATGTGTATTTCTGAATCCAGATCATGTGTGTCACTGACAGAGATCAGAGATTCACGTTACGTTTCTGGTCTTTCAGATACATCGACTGTGTCAATGGTAAAGTAATGCAGGACATCATCTCTAGCAAACTCTACGAGGAGCAGTTTGACGCCATTCAGGACTGTTTCCGTATCATAGGATTTACTGAAGAGGTACAGCTGGGATTCTGATTTATATTTCGTGATCCTATACAAGTATTATAGGAATAGTTCACCCCCAGTGATTTATGCTTTTATATACAGGAAGTGAATTCTGTGTACAGAATTCTATCAGGCATTTTAAACACAGGAGATATTGAGTTTACATCCACCAGCTCCCAACATCAGAGCGACAAGAGTGAGGTGCCCGACTCTGAGGCCTTAGATAATGGTAAGATTGGTACGATTAAATACAAACATAGCTTTATAAAATGCATAGTCCCGTTCCTTGATTCTGATTGGTTGAGCCGCATTCAAAGCTGTTGTAAATTACTTCTGTGTGTTGCTCTGCAGCCACTTTATTGGAACCACAGCTGTTTCTGAGGAGCTACATTGTTTGGTGGAAGAATACTGTTTTTATTAATATCTTTACACTTTATTTGCTCTGTTTTATTTTGTGAAACCTTACTACGTATATGGAATAACCGTTTTATAAAAGCAATAAGCCCCATGAAGCCGTGGTTTACGGTGAATTTATAACAGCTAAGGGGGTTTTAGTCACTCCGCTTTGCGTAGTACCTAACAATGCCCCTTAGCTGTTATAAATTCACTGTAAACCACGGCTTCTTGGGCTTATTTCTTTAGTAAATAATGTAAAATATATCATAACACAATAAACAATCTCCTTGAATGCATTTAATTGGCTTACCCTGAACAGCTCTCTGTTGTATAATCACTCAGTCATGTTTTATGTATTTATTTATTTATTGACTAGTTAGGATGGAAGTTAGTTTGTTGCCACTTGTCAATTGCCGGTATAATTAACCTGAATACAGAGAATATTAGAAACACTCTGAATCTTCTATGAATGCAAATATCCGAGACCTACAGGTCACTACATTGTCCCATGACTACCCTAGTGAAAAATAAAATGTATTTGGAACATATATAAGTATGCTACAAATTGATGTGCTCAATAAAAATACCTTGCAATGCTTTTTAGTTTACTAAACTGGTATACTTAAAGTCTAATGGTGTGCTTGATGAACTTTAATTGTGCAGAAGTAGTGCTGAAGTCCAACTAAAGATATGCTGAAGTATATATAAGTGGAGCTATTGCAAGTATACTTCAGGTACACTTTAAATATCTTGCATTTAAAGACTGATATTATTCAAAGATCATACAATCCTCATCAACAGTGACATTAAAGCACATTTTAGGCTTAATATTAAGAAATGTGCATTGTGCACAAGTAATGCTCCAAACAAAGTTTAATTATAATTTTTATATCAGTAAGACTCAAGTGATATGTCAGTAAATATATTAATAGATTTGAACTATACTTAGTATGACGTAATAAAGCAATAAGCCCTAAGAAGCCGTGGTTTACAGTGAATTTATAACAGCTAAGGGGCGTTGTTAAGTACGACGTGAAGCGGAGTGACTAAAACCCCCTTAGCCGTTATAAATTCACTGTAAACCACGGCTTCTTAGGGCTTATTGCTTTTATAAAACGGTTATTCCATATACGTAGTAAGGTTTCACAAAATAAAACAGAGCAAATAAAGTGTAAAGATATTAATAAAAACAGTATTCTTCCACCAAACAATGTAGCTCCTCAGAATCAGTTGTGGTTCCAATAAAGTGGTTGTACGTAAACAAAGGTGTGTGTTTGTAGAGTAATTTACAACGGCTTTGAACTTGGCTCAACCAATCAGAATCAAGGACCGGAACTCTCCGTTTTATAAATGTATTTTAAATATATTCATTTTTTACTAGGGTAGTTAAACCTGGAATGTAATGTTTTGAAATACTGTATTTCAAATGTTAGATTACAGATACAGCAGTAGAGAAATTTGCTAATTTGGTTGTTTAAAGGCTAATTCACACTGCACTGACAAACACAAAACAACTTTGACAATCATCACATTGCAGTATATCACTTCTCATACATTCAACGGCCCGACGAGTGCCAAAACATGTTCAGCTGGCGAAAACAAGCACTGATCAATGACAGCAGACATCGATGGGGTAATGCATTGATTGGACAAAGCGTGTCTGTTGCCTTTGGCCAGCTTTGATATGTTCAAGATGGATGAATTATTGATGCTTTTATATTTAGTATTTTAAACCTTTCAGAGATGTTATATTTCATGAATGTTAGTTTCTTGGTTTGCATCTACAGAACCCACATTCTCCTAATGAAATAAATCTCACGGATGTGTTAGAACTTATGAAAGACAAAAGACGAGAGGCATAGGTCCATTCCTGATGTTCTTCTATCTGTATCTGCTGTGTTTAGCGGCCACTCTGCTCAGTATCGGCTCTGAGGAGCTTCAGGAAGCTTTGACCTCCCACTGCGTGGTAACTCGAGGAGAAACCATCATTCGCACCAACACTGTGGACAAGGCCACTGATGTGAGAGACGCCATGTCTAAAGCCCTGTACGGACGCCTCTTCAGCTGGATAGTGAACCGCATTAATGCACTGCTGCAGCCTGACACTAACATCTGGTACGATAAAATATTACAGTCATGATCAGGGATGCATCCTTCGGTTTAAAGGGGTCCTATTATGCTTTTTCACTTTTTCAACTTAGTCTAGTTAGTCTGAGATGTTGCTGTTTGAGTATAAAAAAAATATCTGTTTTCAAAGTCCACTTCAGAAGGAGATATTTTATTTAACAGAAATTACTTTTTAAAAACTACAACGAATGACTCGTTTGGACTACAACGCATATTTTCCGGGATTTTCCCCACCCCTGGTCCTGGAGGCACACCAACACTGCACATTTTGCATGTCTCCTTTCTCTGACACACCAGTTTCAGGTCTTGGTGTCTCTACTAATGAGCTGATTACCTGAATCAGGTGTGGTTGATTAAGGAGACATGCAAAACATGCAGTGTTGGGGTGCCTCCAGGACCAGGGTTGGGAACAACTGGTGTAGCCGATGTTGAATCTTAAAAGTATATTTTTAAATAACTGTCATAAAAGGGATAGTTCACCCAAAAATTTACATTTTGTCATCATTTACTCACCCTCAAGTTGTTTCTAACAAAAGAAGATATTTTGAAGAATGTTGTTAACCAAACAGTTGGTGGTAGCCATTGACTTCCATAACAGGAAGACAAATACTATGGAAGTCAATGGCTACCAGCAACTGTTTGGTTACCAACATTCTTCAAAATATCTTCCTTTGTTTTTAACAGAAGAAAGAAACTCATACAGGTTTGATAAATGTGTGATTTTTGGGTGAACGATCACGTGGCCTTTTATTTATTTATTATATTATATTTATTTTATTGACTTTTACCTCAAGTTAATTTAACGATAACTTCAAGGTAAATTCTAAGCTTTCATCCCAATCTCGCTCCTTGAATCTCTCCGTTACGGATGCGTTTAGATGCGTGAGCATCATCTCCAGCGATGACCTCCAATCTAACCACCACAAAGCTCAGAATATTAATATCCACAGCAAAAGAAGAAAAGAGTTTTTTTATAAATTTTTGATACCGAGTTACATTGAAAAAATAATATGCAGATGATTAAAAAGACTTCAGAGAGAGTGGAAAAGCCGTTCATTGATCCGAGCGAATCCTGTCAGACATCAGCCACGGGCTTGTCAGAGAAACTCATGTCTTCCACCTCGATACACACCATCCAAATTCTGCCATTTCCACTCCAATCAGCAGCGCGTTCAGCGTTATTGCCACTAATAACCTGTTAGTGGGAGCAGAAGGTGACCCCTGGTCGCTGTCTGAGGAGCTTGGAGGAGATCGCGACTCACTCAATGTTCAGAGACGAGGGTCCAAGCTGTTTGTAAACTGAAATGACACGCTCACGCAGACCTGTGTTTTTAAAGCTCTTTGTTTTTCTGTTTTCTTGGTTGACAGGTCATAAAATATTTAGTTGTTTGGGTCATTAGAGTGCTTAAGGCCTAAATGTGTTGTGATGGTCGGATAATGTCTGGCTCTTCGTGTCTTTGAAGTGCGGCTGAGAGTGGAATGAACGTGGGGATTTTGGACATCTTTGGTTTCGAAAACTTCAAGAAGAACTCATTTGAGCAGCTGTGTATCAACATCGCTAATGAACAGATCCAGTTCTACTTCAATCAACACATCTTTGCCCTGGAACAGGTGAGACTTTCTCTGTGCACTTTCTCTGAGTTTGAGTTTATCTTAAACCCACCACTATTTATCCTTGAATACATCTGCATCAGTTTAAATGGCAAAAAAAGAAATACATGGCTTCACGACTGCCACTTGTGTAAAAGAAATGCACTTAATTGAATCAAATGCATACTTGTATTGTACTTCAAATATTTAAAGCTTTTTTAAACTGGACTTGCAGATAATAGTATTTATTAAATAATTGGCCACTTAGGTTTACTTAAAAAGAGTACATTTTTAAATGGCTGTTTCTACTCTTTATGTTTTTCTTTTAAAATACATTTTAAATAATTGTTTTAATAATTAATAGAATTCATCATATCGTCAAACCTTGTATGGAACTAAAATGTTCTCAAAGCAAATCAATGTGTCTAGTGTACACTTCATTTGCAGAAAAAAAGCAATTAGTACACTTGCACATTCAGACTTGTGTTGCTGAAAACTTTGATATGCAGGGTTTGTCAAAATGAAGGCATTTCTTTATAATTACCACACTGGGAAAAGGAAGTACACTGTAGCATATTATTAAAAGGAGAGCTTATTACAAAAAATAAGATACTTTAAAAGAATATAATGTAATGTTTTCTGACTAATTTTAGTTAACTGCAATTAAATGAAAATGTTTTATAGTTTAAAATTTATATTAAATGCAATTAGCTGAACTTTAGAGGTTTTTGTTGTTGTTGTTGTTGCGGTTGTTTTGGACCCATTTAAGTAGAACTTAAGTACATCTTTATATGTAGTTTCATCATCATGTATTTATATATGTGTTTGTTCAGATCGAGTATCAAAGTGAGGGTGTTGATGCCAGTCTGGTGGAATATGAGGACAACAGGCCCATTCTGGACATGTTTCTACAGAAGCCCATGGGTTTACTGTCTCTGCTGGATGAGGAGAGCCGTTTCCCACAGGCCACCGACCAAACACTCGTCGGTAATGCTCAACTGCTTCATGTAAAATAATTTACATGATGTTCAGCATGCATTCGTTTTAAAGAATAATGCTAATAGCAAATCAGTTTTAACTGAATAGTGGCATTGCATTTAATAATTTATTTAATCTTAAGATGAGAGGCCAGTTTGATAAGATTCTTCACTTACCTTCAGTGTTTGTTATATAGATAAGTTTCAGGATAACCTGAGAAACAAGTACTTCTGGACACCCAAGCGTGTGGAGCTTTGGTTCGGGATCCAGCATTATGCTGGCAAGGTAAAGAGAAAACTATTTCATGAAATCGCATCTACTGTTTTATTTGCAGGACCTACAGCTTCATATGAATAGAAAACTCACACTCTTCTTATTCAAACGAGTGCAAACAGCTCAATTCACTTCAAAAGGGTCATCGGATGCAACATGCACTTTAACAAGCTGTTTGAACTGAAATGTGTGTTGGCAGTGTGTGTACACAACCACCCTATAATGATAAAGATCCACCCAGTTTTTTTTTTATCTCGTTAAATGATTTCCCCTTTCTAAAATCGAGCCGATCTCAGATGCCTGTCTGTGTGATGTCACACAGACAGGCCCCTCCCACGATAGTTTGATTGACAGTAGTGTTTCAGCACAGACTGGACTGGCGTCTTACCTTAGACCCGTCCTGAGTGAGCTGTCATCAGTCCGCCATTGTTTCACCGCCGGAGCAGATGTAGACAAGAATGACTCCTAAGCGATCAAGGTGTTCTGTTGTTGGATGTAATAATGAACATAGCTGTCGTCGTTTACTCCCGACATGTGAGCAGCTGAAGACGCAGTGGATTACCTTTGTTTCTGAAGGGAATGCGCCCCGATCTACTTAAATGCGTCTATGTTTGCACAAATCATTCGTGATCCAGCTTCACCTCCAGAAGAAGTGAGTGTAAGGTTTTTTAATGAATCTTTGCAAATCGCCTTTCCTAATAATATGCTAGTTAGCGAGTTTTACGATGAACGTGGCTAAAGTTTACCGTCTCTCAGAGAGCGGCTCTGAAGAGAGGGGCGGGGTGAGCCGAGCTAATTAGCATTTAAAGCGGAATGCAATAAAACAGCGTGCTGTAGACAGAGCTGTTTTTGACAGGGTAAAACGGTGTTGTTTTACACTACCATTGAGAAATTTTAACCAAACTATGTTACAGACTTTTTATTAAGACCCTAAATAATCATATCAACTTGGGCATCCGATGACCTCTTTAAACAATTAATGTGTAACTTAAGTAAACCACAATAACATAAGTTCCCCTTCAGGAACTCGAGCTGTGTCGAAACGCTTTGGGAACGCCTTCAGCTTGACCACGCTCTGAATCACGTGTGTAATCTGTCCAATGGATGGGCGAGACGTCACGGGTGGGGTGACGTAGAGACCAGGGAGCTTTAAAGCACGTGCAGTGGATATAGCAGCAGCTTCTGTCATTCAGCGAAGCGCTCTGTGTGTGTCAGTTCTGTTTATTGTTGTCTGTCCCAGTAAAAGCATAAGCCATGCTAAAGGCGAAAGACAAGCATGCGAGAGCAGACAGCATTTTAGACTGTGTGTTCTTCCCTGGCCGCGCTAAGTTACGGGTGGGGATACACACAGTTTATGTGTTGTTTGTTTGGGAGCGGAGCTCGCACAGTCAGCTCTCGAGGGGGCTGATTGTGCTTCTGCCCGCTGCAAATGCTCCGCTCCCGCCTGGCACGCTTCGAGGAGTGTGTCTGTGCTTGTGATCTTGCGGTTCCAGTCCCACTGCTACTGAGGCACAGCGCCGATTGAGATCGCGGGGATTGCACATGGATCTAGTGGACGGGTTGGAGATGGGCTCGCGCTTTCTCCACCTGCACTCCCTAGATCTAGCGCTCTCTCTCGGGGTGAGAGCTCGCTGCTGCAGCTATCTTTGATATTATCTTGATATTTTTTGCGTATGAGCAGACTGAATTTGGATCGCTCATTCTCCCTGCCCTCGCTAAAATAAGGGGTGGGGATGCACGCGATTTATGTGTAGTCTGTTTTGGAGCATAACACGCACAGTCAGCTCTGGAGGGGACTGGCTGTGTTCATTCTGTAAATGTCCCTAAAAAAAAAAGGAACATTACATTGGATGTTTAGCTCTGCTCCCCCTGACGTTTCTTCTCGAGGGAAGCAAGTCTTATGCAATGTAGAATCGAGTGACTCACGTACGGTTATTCACAATTCTCTGTATTGAATCTTTATCATAATCAGACTGTGTTTACTTGTCTGGTTGTTTGGATGCATTTAATTCTGGGGAATTAAATTATGTATATTAATCTGGCTTTGAGAAGTTAGATATATAATATATATATATGTGTCTGTGTATATATATATATATATATATATATATATATATATATATATATATATATATATATATATATATATATACACATATACTGTATATGTTTATATTATTCGGTAGGGACCAGAGACCGGCTTCACCCTTTCTCCTCCCTCACTCTCTAAATGCAGTGAACTCTTGGAAAAAAAATATTTTAGGTCAGAGCACACCTCTCTTCCTCCATTGAGCAGGTGTAAGAGCAGTGTACAACTCATCATACAGTGCCCGTCTCTCATCAGTGCCCTCAGGAGATTGGTCTGTCAACCCTGCCACCAACGATGCTTCAGGGCACAGCGGTCTCCAGCGAGCGCTTCTCTCAGCTTCCTCCCCGAAACGTAGCGGTTCTGGGAGGCTTGCTACCTCCAAGAAGGTCTCTAGAGCAGCTAGATCGGCCGTCCCCTGCTTGTTCTCCGCTTCAGGGCACTGACCTAGCCGCTCTAAATACACCAGAGGTTAGTTTCCAGAGACTGATTCCCTTAGTAGACTTTCTGGCAACATGGAGACTTCTGCCAAATGTCTCACAATGGGTCCTGCAGACTGCAGGCTCTGGTAATGGAACAGGAAGTAAACACTCTCCTGAGGAAGGAGGCCATCGAGGTGGTCCCTCCTCGTGCAGAGAGACCATACAGCCGGTATTCATTGTTCCAAAGAAGGATGGGTGTACACCCTGAAGTGGAAACTTTTCACTTCTTGGTGCGGAGATCGCCAGCTCGACCCAGTTCACTGCCCGGTTGGTTCAGTGCTGGAGTTCCTACAGGCTCGATTCTCTGCAGAGGTGATTGTGTCCTATTTTAGATCAGGTCATGTCTCAGATCAGGGCTGAGGACTGGTTCGCGCGATGGATCTGAAAGACGCATGCTTACCATTCTTCCTCAACATGGGAAGTTCCTGAGGTTTGCTTTGGGGGCGAAGCTTACCAATACCGGGTTCTTCCTTTTGCGGCCATTTACTGGACTCTCACTCCGCACTTTCCCCAAGTATGTGGATGCTGCTCTGGCTCCACTGTGACTCCAGGGCATCCGCATACTGAATTATATTGACGATTGGTTGATATTGGCTCAATCAGAGCAGACGGTGGTTCGGCATCGAGATGTCGTTCTCGCCCATATGAAAGAGCTGTGGATTTCTTAGACATGTGGAGAAAGCCTTGGTTCTTGTCTCAAGATCCCGGTGTGGTGTAGGGGACTCCTTGTCTTTGCGTAAGCTAATGACTGATGCCTCCCTCACCGGTTGGGTGCAGTCATGAGTGGCCGCCCAGCCCGTGGTCTGTGGAGCAGCCGCCATCTCACGTGGCACATCTACTGCCTGGAGATGCTGGTCTTGCTTCTAGCATTGAAACACTTCCTCCCGGACCTAAGAGGCCACCATGTGTTGGGTGCACCGACAAAACTGGTGGTTTCTTACATCAACCACCAGGGAGGTCTGTGTTCACGCCCCATTTACAGGCTGGCGCACCAGATCCTTTTGTAGGCTCTCCTTTCGGTCACTGCAAGCGTTGTTAGTTCTCCTCTCGCTATGAGTTTTTGAGGCCTCCGCTCGGCAGAGCTCCGCTACGACAGTATCTGTGAGTGGTGGGCTCTATGTAAGCCTGCTTACAGGATGTCCGGAGTGTGGATTGTAGTCAGGCCTCCTCTCAGTTTAGAGAGTTGTCATGCTGATGCCTCTGCTCCAAGAGCTCAACCATTTCTGCGAGTGTCGTCAGGTCTCCTCTCGCTACAGAGAGTTATTGAGGCCTCCGCTCGTGGAGGTGGAGCTTATCTGGAAACAGACTTGGCCGAGGTTTTGTCTGTATGCCTGCCCCCATTCACTCGGCTTCCTGGAGTTCTGGAGAGAGTGCACCGGATAGGTAGTCCCAGTCTGGCCGGACCGAGTACACATCTCTGACCTGATTTCCCTTCTCGATGGCTCTCCGTGGGAGATTTCCGTCAGGAGGGATCTCCTCTCTCTCTCTCTCTCTCTCTGAGTTTTTGGAACTGTGGATGTGGCCCCTGAGGGGGCACAGCTCATAAGTTCTGGTCTCTCAACTGAGGTTGCTGAGACCATACTCCAGTCCAGAGCTCCCTCTACTAGGAACCTTCACTTCTTGGCACGGCAACTGCCAGCTCGACCCAGTTAACTGCCCAGTTGGTTCAGTGCTGGAGTTCTTGCAGGTACGGTTGTCTGCAGGGTTATCCCACTCCACCTTGAAGGTTTCTGTGGCGGCCCTAGCTGCTTACCACACCCCTCTCTGTGGTCAGTCTTTCGGAAGAGACCCACTAGTTACATGTTTCCTCCATGGTGCGCTGAGGCTGAGGCCTCCACCCAGGAGAAGCTTATACTAAGTGGTGGATCGGGTTGCTATTCATAGCCTTGAGTCCTCTGATCTCCCCTCACTCCTCCAGAAGTTGGCCTTTAGGATGCTGGAGATATCCACTCCGTTTACTTGTCTGATTCTATACTTGCATTTTGCACTACTCCTGGCTCCTTTTTCTCTCGCCTTAGCTGTGCTTTTCCACACTAGGCAGGGACTTGCAAATCTGGCAGCGTGGGCATACTCGTTCCCAAAGCATTTCGACGCAGCTTGAGTTTCTGAAGGGGAACGTCTCTAGGTTACGTATGTAACCCTAGTTCACCAAGGGAATGAGATACTGCGTCTCATTGCCATACTTCATTCCACCAGAAGCTGCCGCTGTATCCACCGCACATGCTTTTAAGCTCCCTGGTCTCTACGTCACCCCGCCCGTGACGTCTCGCCCATCCTTTGGACTGATTACACAAGTGAATCAGAGCGTGGTCACGCTGAAGGCGTTCCCAAAGGGTTTCAACACAGCGTCTCATTCCCTCTGGGAACTAGGGTTACATACGTAACCTAGAGACGTGTTTTTTTTTGTTTGTTTTTTAGTAGCAAACGTCTTTTATGTTCACCAAGACTGCATTTATCTGATCAAAATAATATATTAATAATATTATGAAATATTAAAAAAATTTGTAACTATTTTCACAAATTTTTATTTATTTATTAGAAACTGTGATAGGTTCTTGTAACGATCAATCCACTGAAGGCAAGTTGAAGTGTGAACCCAAGTGCAGTTTATTTACAAAGGTGATCCAAACAATAATCCGAGACTTGACATGAACAGACTTGACTAGAACAGACTTGACGAGGCATAAACAGACTTGACTAAAACAGACTTGACTAAAACAGACTTGACTTGACATGAACAGACTTGACTTGACTAGGCATGAACAGATTTGACAAGACATGAACAGACTTGACGAGGTATGAACAGACTAGACTCACCGACAGCGGGTTACAACATCAATACACGATAAGCGCACAATGGGAACATGATGGCTAGTTATAGCAGACAAGAAGGGTCACATGACATGAACAAACCAATGGGAAACAAGACACATGACTAGGACAACCAATCAGAACATGACACAAAGAACAGAGGAACCAGTGGCATGAAGACAAGAGGGCAAGGGAAGCATGACACTAACAGCATGAATCAAACTACAAAATAAAAGACATGGAAACATGAATATGAAACAAAACCCAAAACCCACATTACATATCCCCCCCTCTAAGGGCGGCTCCAGACGACCAAACAAAACCCCAAAATTCCAGGAGGGTGGTGGAGTAGAGGCAGAACTGGGGGAGGGACGGAGGGCCAGGCACATGAAGCGGAACAGGCAGAGCAGGGAGCCATGGCGGAGCAGGCAGAGCGGGGGCCATGGTGGAGCAGGCAGATCAGGGAGCCATGGCGGAGCAGGCAGAATAGGCAGCCATGGCTGTGCAGGCAGAGCAGGGCGCTCGGGTGATGACGGCAGAGCAGGAAGCCATGGCGGTGCAGAGACATGGACAGATCACTTGACTGTGACGGAGCAAGCAGAGAGTTCTTGAATGTCCTCCTTGGCCGTGACAGGACAGACAGTGAGTTCATGAACGGCCTCCATGGCCGTGACAGGACAGAAAGGGAGTTCATGAACGGCCCTCTTAGTCAAGACAGGGCAGACAGTGAGTTCGTGAACGGCCTCCGTGGCCATGACAAGTCAGTCTGTGAGTTCGTGAACGGCCTCTGTGGCTGTGACAGGGCAGGCAGTGAGTTCGAAAGCGGACGCCACCACCTCAGGAGGTTCTGCAGCAGATGCCGCCACCTCTGGAGGTTCTGCAGTGGATGCTACCACTTCTGGAGGCACAGGAAAGGCCCTTGGAGCAGACTCGTGGTTAGGAGAGGCCACTGGGGCAGATTCATAGACAGGAAAGGCCTCAGGAGCAGATTCATAGACCGGAGAGGCCTCTGAGGTAGACTCGTGGACAGGAGAGGACTCTGGAGTGCAGTGTGCAGCCCACACGCTCAAAATGACGACCTCCCTTACAGTAAGGGCAGCAGAATGTGGCATGACCTCTAAGATGGCGGGGCTTGAGAGCGCTGACGTCACTGGGATGCCTGCAGCTCGCACCGACATCAGAGGTGGGTCCATCACACTAGCAATCAGTCTTTTCAGTCTTGGCCAAAGCTCCGCGTCCGACTGGCGTGGCGTGGCGACCATCTTGGCCGGAGACTCAGGCGTGGTGACCACCTTGGCCGGGGACTCAGGCGTGGCGGCCATCTTGGCCGGGGACTCAGGCGTGGCAGCCATCTTGGCCAGGGACTCAGGCTTAACGTGAGCAGACTCTGAAATGGCGGCCATGTCGTGACGAGACTCTGGAAGATCAGTTGAGACGTGATGAGACTCTAGAAGGGCGGCCATGTTGAGAAGAAACTCTTGAGGTGCCGGCATGACATGAGCAAGCTCTGGCTTGGCAGACGTGACGTAAGCAGGCCCTGGGGTAGCAGACATGATGTTAGCAGACTCTGGCTTGGTAGACATGAAGTGAACAGGTTCTGACTTGATAGATATGACATGAGTAAACTTTGACTTAACTGGCATGATTTGAGCAGGTCCTGGAGTAGCAAACATGGCATTAGCAGGCTCGGACTTGGCAGACAAGACGTTAGCAGGCGTTGGTGTAGCAGACGTGATGTGAGCAGACTCTGGTTCTGGTTTAGTGCCATGTTCCTTCTCCACGACACCCACAGTGAAAGCAGATCCACTCAACTGCAGAGCAAAGTCTATATATTGTTCTAGTGACCAACAAATCTTTCCCCCAGGCAACTGAAAACGAATGGGTTCATTTAAACCCACTCGAAAAATGTCCTTAACCTCATCATTAAAATCCACCAAATGGCACAGTCCACAAAAGTCCTGAACATAATCCTCAATAGGCCTGTCACCTTGACGAAGGCAGAGGAGACGTGAAACTGCTGGGTTCATTGTAAGGGTCGTGTATTCTGTAAAGATCAATCCACTGAAGGCGAGTTGAAGTGTGAATGCAAGTGCAGTTTATTTACAGGTGATCCAAACATCCAAACAATAATCCGAGACTTGACTAGGCATGAACAGACTTGACTAGAACAGCCTTGACTAGGCATGAACAGACTTGACTAAAACAGACTTGACGAGGCATAAACAGACTTGACTAAAACAGACTTGACTTGACATGAACAGACTTGACTTGACTAGGCATGAACAGACTTGACGAGACATGAACAGACTAGACTCACCGACAGTGGGTTACAACATCAATACACGATAAGCGCACAATGGGAACATGATGGCTAGTTATAGCAGACAAGGAGGGTCACATGACATGAACGAACCAATGGGAAACAAGACACATGACTAGGACAACCAATCAGAACATGACACAAAGAACAGCGGAACCAATGGCATGAAGACAAGAGGGCAAGGGAAGCATGACACTAACAGCATGAATCAAACTACAAAATAAAAGACATGGAAACATGAACATGAAACAAAACCCACATTACATATCCCCCCCTCTAAGGGCTGCTCCAGACGCCCAAACAAAACCCACATTACAGTTCTTTTGAAGGTTCTTAGGTTAAATTAGGTTTTTAGGACACAATTATTTTGAAATAGAAATATTTTGTAACCAGATTGATTACCTTTACTGCTACTTTTGATCAATTTAATGCATCATTGCTGAATATATTTTCTTAAAAAATAAAATGTTAAAAATGTTACTGACCCCATACTTCTAACTGTAGTGTATATATAATCAACAACGTAGTTAAACAGTTACTATTGCAGTAATTCATTAATACACCAATCCATGTTGGATCAGAATATAAAGATTTCCTGCAGTTTCACAAGTAAAAGTGTGTAATAATGAAATGTCTTGTGTCTCTCTGTCAGGTGCTGTATAATGTCAGTGGTTTTCTGGAGAAGAACCGGGACACTCTTCCTGCAGATATTGTGGTGGTTTTGAGGACGTCAGAGAACAAACTCCTGCAGCAGCTGTTTTCCAGCCCTCTTACCAAAACAGGTACCAGAATCATTCAGCATTATCACGTGAGCTGTTCATGTCACGTCTCTGGCGTCGCTTCTGTCACCTCTCTAGCCAGTCAGAACTGACTGTCAGGCCAATTGTATCCCAGAGTTCTCTTGACAAATACTGCAGTGCCACAGAGCATCTAGGAGGCTGGAACAGAGTGTCAGATTAATGGAAATGCAGTAAGGGTGTTAAAACTGTCCCAATCATTTGAGAAGCTTCACACCCCATTTTTACTGTCCAGAGGTCACTGGGTCAAGTCAGGGCCAATGGGTGAGAGCTATGTTAACATTCATGACAGTGGATTTTAAAATGTTAAGAGGTGTTGGTGTAAATGTTTGTTGTTAAATTATAAAGCAATCATTTGAAAGTGATGTTCACACTTCAGCCCAGACACCTGTTGTAGTAAGATCGATTCTCTTTGTCAGTGTGTCATTTTGCTCCAATGTTAAGGGTCAATCTCAGATCCACAGAACTGCTGAGAGATCACACTACTGAGAGAATATTTCCATAAATATAGAATATAAAATACAAATAAAAATGGTTTTAAATATGTATGACGTAGTCGTATGAAATGAATTAGTATTAAAGTATCTTATCAAGGCTGTATTTATAAAATACAGTAAACTGTTTATATTATGAAATATTACCACAATTAAAAATACATACTGTATATTTTCTACTTGAATATATTTTACAATGTAATTCATTCCTGTGATGTAAAGCTGCATTTTCAGCATCATTACTCCAGTCTTCAGTGTCACATGATCCAGAAATAATTCTAATATGCTGATTGTGCTGCTTAGTATTTTTGTGTAAACTGTGATTTTTGTTATTATTATGTGTGCTATTGTTAGTATGTGTGTTATTGTTATTTTTATTTTATAGGGTTTTTATTGGGTATTTTTTTAGGATTATTGAACAATAGTTTAAAAGAACAGAATTGATTTGAAATATAATTATTTTACAATATTTTATAAATATTTCTTTGCAATTTAATGCATTCTTGTTTAATAAAAGCATTAATTAAAAAAAATAAAAATCTTATTGACCCCAAAGCAAGCTTTATTTAGGCTAAATCTAAAATCCTGTTACTTGAAACCCAACTATCCATTCTTAATGTTTCATATATTTAAAAAAAAAAAAGAAACGAAAAAGAAAAAAAAAGCATTAAAAAAATATTAGTGACAACAATTTTTTTGAATGGTACTTACACTCTCATAACAGAAATGCTGTAAACACAGAGCATTGTGGGATATATATAAATTCTCTCTCTAAATGCATTGCTTTAAAATATAATGGAATACTGATTTACCCTATTTGTGAAAGCATTTCCAATATTGTGTTTGTGTGAGTTTTGAGTTTATGGAAATTCAGCAGCCCATTGAAAATGTGTGGTCTGACAGTATGATTGTGTGAATGTGCTGCCGTGTGGACGTTCAGACTCAAATAAACGAGCTGAATTCAGAGACTGTGGCCACAGTCTTTCTCTCTCTCTCTCTCTCTCTCTCTCTCTCTCTCTCTGTCTCTGTTTCTCTCTCTTTTTTTATAAATACAAATCTCTCCCCGCATTATCTCTGGAGTGGCTGATCTCCAGGCAGAAGAATAGTGGAATAGAAAAGAAGGATAGAGCTGTGGATGGATGTGTTTTCATTTCCTCTAAGCTGTCCGCTAGGCTCCCGCTGCTTCTTTGCTATCTATTGGAGTTTGGGATATTCCAGCGATAAGAATCTCAAATACTCTGAGGAAGAAAAGCAGTTATTTAGCCCAGTAAACTGCTTTTCCTCTGCTATCGTTCTGCCAGCCAGGTGCTTAGTAAAGTTGCTAGACGGTCACTCGACTTAGTGAGGTGTGAATAGGAGCATGCTGGGTAATTATAAGATGTGTATTTTCATGCGTCTCTTTAGTTAAGCCATTATGTGGCTGGCCGCTGCCTTCGGCTACCTGTTAATGAGTGTGTTTAATCAGAACCCAGTGAAAAAGATTTGAAGAACCGTGTTTCCGAATTAATGTGCTGAGCTTATAAAAGTGCTGGATACTTTGCTAAATGGAATAGGATAATTTTATTGGTCAATTTTGAGGTGTGTGTGTAGAGAGAG